AAGTCCTGAGCAACCTGGTCTGACCTCAGCGCTGGCCCTGCATTGAGCAGGAGGTCGGTCTAGAGACCTGCGAGGTACCTTCCAACAGGAATTTTGCTACCATCTTAAGTCAGCCTGTTTGTTCCCTGCACAAAAAGGCAGTATCTCTTACCCGCGCTTCATGACGATTTACACGAAGCATTTGCGATACTCCAGTAATGAAAGGATGCGGACACTCGCTGTGTTTGTGCACCCTGTTGGTTCAGGTTTTAGATCTGAGAGCAGATCTTTAGAGGACGTATGCTTATACAGAGCAGGTTTGGGACAGCAGATCGACGGTCTGACAGTCGTGACCTTGGAAGAAGAAGTACCATTTCAGAAACACCCAAACCTACGCCTATATTAAAAAATTTAAGAAAATACAATCTCCTTCTTCATGAAAGCTGCCAGTTTGTCAATTAAAGACAGCCGTCAACTGTAAGGCTGGGCGATCCTGGCTTCATCTTTGGTGCTCTGGGCCACCAAGCCCAGTACAAGGCTTATACTTGCTATCCCTCGGCAACAAGACCCATTTGCCTGATTTTCCGGGCCCGAGTACTTGTGCCATCTCTTTTACGCATGCCCTGTACCTTGGATGCGCTACACAGGTCCTTCAAAAGGGCTGAAACTTCAGCTTTTCCAAGTACCTCCCTGTGGGAACACGGTCAACACCACACAGAGACTGCAGCTAGAACACGCTGCAGCGCAAGACACCATGCAGATACTGGAGGGAAGGAGGAAGGGAAGAAAAGCAACGTTCATTTATCTGCTTCACTTTTTCCCCGCTATTCTATATACCTCAGACTGACACCAGTATTTTCTGTGACCTCCCGACTACAGCCTGTATCTTGTTGAGAAATTGAGGGTTTTCAGCTCAATTTTGCATTTCTGCCTTTGGCCTGTTCGTAGGAACCCTTAACAGTCTTCAATCCCACTACGATAGCCTACCCTTCTTTTTCTTTCTCCCGCACATAGTGCCTCCAGCTTTTATGTCCCTCTACTGATACGTCTATTCCTTCGAACTCCTACTGGTGTTTACTCCTCTCTGCAAGCATGCAGCAGGGATAAACATTCATTTTCAGCAACCGTATCCCTCTGATCTTCTCACAACATACAGTCATTAAGATTAACTCCTCTACAGTGTGTCTAGCGTGGGAGAGGCTCACAGCGCGTTAAACGCTGGAATTTATGCTCCCTGGAACAAAAACTACTTTATCATTTGATACAGCAGCGGCTTCCTAACTTTGGCCACGGTTCTTAAAAATACGCACGCAGTACTATTCAAGGTCCTGCAGTAGGTGGTGTTATTTTATAAGCTTGCAGCCCGTAATTACTAACTTGCATCAAAGAGGCGTGCTTCAGGGTCTCCAGATTTCTAAAGTCTGCAATTTTAGAACAGGAAAAGCATCAGCTTTCACGTCGACTGCAGCTCTTAGGCTATTACTATTAAACATTGAGGTTCAAGAAACATGTATGCAGTGAGATAGCATGTTTCCTGAAAGACAAATTATACGGCCTACCAAGACGCGAATCACTCCTCCTGTTACTCCCAAATGGGGAGTTCAGGTACTTTTTAAGCTACGGAGAAGGCCGGATGACAGACTGTTTGCTAAGGAACAAGCATGAGATCTGGATGACCAAGGTAAGTCACCCAAATGCCTGCCTCAATCAAATGACACTCTCGGTGGATAGCCAGTCGATTCTTGTGTAACTGGCAAACGGAGGGCTTCTCAATTCCAGTTCTTTCCTTCGTGCGGTAAAGGTGAAGTCATGCACCATCACTGCAAGCCTTTACTGTTAGCTGGGAAAGGTCCTCCTCATCATTAGTCAGAGCTATTTACTCACTTCTCTGCTTATCTGACTTTACACAGTTCTCTAATAGCTAGCCATAAACTGCAGTAATCTAGCCACAAAGTTAAAACACAAGGAGAGAAAGTCTATCATTCATTTAACGTTTCAGGCAAACATTACCAATACTGAATTTTACATTTGTACACATGTAATCCCTCTTTAAGCATCAGTGTCGTCCCTGTCGCTCATACCAGACAGGCTAAGAATTAAGCTTACATTTCATACACAAACTCTTAACTCAGGCGTTAAAGCATTTATTTTATAAAATGCAAATCCAACCAGCACACCTTAAGACTTAATTTCTTTCCGCTCCGCAGGTTTGAGATGCCGTTTAATGACAAGCTCTCCGTTGCTCCTAAGAAAGGTGTCTGACATTTCCTCTTCTGTTGGCAATCCGTAAGGTAGCTTCAGTGGCTGTATTCTACGGGCAAAAGAGTTTGCTTAGTGAAGTCCTATGGCTGGAAGAGAGTTACATTAAGTGTTCCAAATTAAACAAATCGTTAACAAACCTTATTAGATGTTTAATAACTTTCAGTCTGGAATTCACAGAAGGGATATTTTTGTGCAGTCTTGGCTGATGTGCCTATATAAAGGATAGAACAGGTTTTACAAACGCACGGCCAAACCCCACATCTCTGTTCACTGAACTTTTCATGCTGTCAGTACAAACAGAAACCACATTTGCAAATGTAAGATTTGGAGACACGTCACGCATCAAGAACATACGTAAAACTACAAAGTCAAAACTTGATCAAATTCGGCTCCAGTAAAATGACAAATTCAGCTTTATTCCCATTACATTATCAATATATCCAAATTTCTTCCAACTGTTAAAAATACTAGAAATGTAAATACAGGAGTTTCGGGGTAAGACTGCTTGCTTCAGTTAGATCTTCAACTGATTAAGTGCACATTTTTTTCTCTGTAATGTAACACTGACCAGATGAATCTTTGCAGTATGTGCAGTTGGTCTAAAAAAATTTGGATAAACGCCTCTTTGACACAAACTCTTAGATTCTTGGATTTGGAAGCCTTTTCGTTCGTAAGCGAGTCTTATTTGCCTACCTGCAATATCTGAATAATATGACCCACAGAGAAAACTGAATTCAAAGTATTTACAAACCTGTTTTTATTACTGTAGCGGAATTATCAAGGTAAAGTTCTCCTCAGGCATGCAGAGCAATACCATACAGTGATATTCTGAATTCCCATTAAAAGGCCATTTGCCATCAATGTTCCTCTCAGCTCTTAAACACATCATCGATTTCTCAGTTACATTTATAGCATCTGTAAAGCAATCCAAGTTTTGTGACTGCAAAATTGAAGTCCTTAAAAAAACCCCACCACCTTAATTCTACCCTATGTTTCTACATTTCTGATGTACACAATAAGTATAAAGAACAACAATCATACTTTATCCAGTCC